ACTTGGCCAACTGGCCCAGGTAGCCCAGCCTTGTTACAAGACTTGGCCAACTGGCCCAGCTAGCCCAGCCTTGTTACAAGACTTGGCCAACTGGCCCAGCTAGCCCAGCCTTGTTACAAGACTTGGCCAACTGGCCCAGCTAGCCCAGCCTTGTTACAAGACTTGGCCAACTGGCCCAGCTAGCCCAGCATTGTTACAAGAATTGGCCAACTGGCCCAGCTAGCCCAGCTTTGTTACAAGACTTGGCCAAATGGCCCAGCCTTGTTACAAGACTTGGCCAACTGGCCCAGCCTTGTTACAAGACTTGGCCAACTGGCCCAGCCTTGTTACAAGACTTGGCCAACTGGCCCAGCTAGCCCAGCCTTGTTAGAAGACTTGGCCAACTGGCCCAGCCTTGTTACAAGACTTGGCCAACTGTCCCAGCTAGCCCAGCCTTGTTACAAGACTTGGCCAACTGGCCCAGCTAGCCCAGCCTTGTTACAAGACTTGGCCAACTGGCCCAGCTAGCCCAGCCTTGTTACAAGACTTGGCCAACTGGCCCAGCTAGCCCAGCTTGTTACAAGACTTGGCCAACTGGCCCAGCTAGCCCAGCCTTGTTACAAGACTTGGCCAACTTGCCCAGCTAGCCCAGCCTTGTTACAAGACTTGGCTAACTGGCGCAGTAGACCAGCCTTGTTACAAGACTTGGCCAACTGGCCCAGCTAGCCCAGCCTTGTTACAAGACTTGGCCAACTAGCTCAGCTAGCCCAGCCTTGTTGCAAGACTTAGCCAACTGGCCCAGCTAGCCCAGCCTTGTTACAAGACTTGGCCAACTGGCCCAGTAGCCCAGCCTTGTCACAAGACTTGGCCAACTGGCCCAGCTAGCCCAGCGTTGTTACAAGACTTGGCCAACTGGCCCAACTAGCCCAGCCTTGTTACAAGACTTGGCCAACTGGCCCAGTAGCACAGCCTTGTTACAAGACTTCGCCAACTGGCCCAGCTAGCCCAGCCTTGTTACAAGACTTGGCCAACTGGCCCTGCTAGCCCAGCCTTGTTACAAGACTTGGCCAACTGGCCCAGTAGCACAGCCTTGTTACGAGACTTGGCCAACTGGCCCAGCTAGCCCAGCCTTGTTACAAGACTTGGCCAACTGGCCCAGTAGCACAGCCTTGTTACAAGACTTGGCCAACTGGCCCATCTAGCCCAGCCTTGTTACAAGTCTTGGCCAACTGGCCCAGCTAGCCCAGCCTTGTTACAAGACTTGGCCAACTGGCCCAGCTAGCCCAGCCTTGTTACAAGACTTGGCCAACTGGCCCAGCTAGCCCAGCCTTGTTACAAGACTTGGCCAACTGGCCCAACTAGCCCAGCCTTGTTACAAGACTTGGCCAACTGGCCCAGTAGCCCAGCCTTGTTACAAGACTTGGCCAACTGGCCTATCTAGCCCAGCCTTGTTACAAGACTTGGCCAACTGGCCCAGCTAGCCCAGCCTTGTTACAAGACTTGGCCAACTGGCCCAGTAGCCCAGCCTTGTTACAAGACTTGGCCAACTGGCCCAGCTAGCCCAGCCTTGTTACAAGACTTGGCCAACTGGCCCAACTAGCCAGCCTTGTTACAAGACTTGGCCAACTGGCCCAGCTAGCCCAGCCTTGTTACAAGACTTGGCCAACTGGCCCAGCTAGCCCAGCCTTGTTACAAGACTTGGCCAACTGGCCCAACTAGCCCAGCCTTGTTACAAGACTTGGCCAACTGGCCCAACTAGCCCAGCCTTGTTACAAGACTTGGCCAACTGGCCCAGCTAGCCCAGCCTTGTTACAAGACTTGGCCAACTGGCCCAGCTAGCCCAGCCTTGTTACAAGACTTGGCCAACTGGCCCAACTAGCCCAGCCTTGTTACAAGACTTGGCCAACTGGCCCAGCTAGCCTAGCCTTGTCACAAGACTTGGCCAACTGGCCCAGCCTTGTCACAAGACTTGGCCAACTGGCCCAGCTGGCCTAGTCTTGCAGAAAGACAACATTCTTCAGAGGTAAATCTTTTAAAACACATTTTCAATATATATATTTTTCTGTCGTCTTATATATCACACAGTTATATTGAGCACTTGTTTTGTTCCCTTTATAACACCAATAATAATAATGATAATTTACTGAATACGTTGTATCACAGCCGCTTAAGTAAGACGAATGAACTAGACTTAAATATACATATATATATATATATATATAATATATATATATATATATATATATATATATATATATATATATATATATATATATATTTATTTATTGATAGTCACCCCCAGAAAATTGTCAGGTGAAAAATGAGGAACAGGTGAGAGTATATGTTTGTGTGTGTGTGTGTGTGTTGTGTGTGTGTGTGTGTGTGTGTGTGTGTGTGTGTGTGTGTGTGTGTGTGTGTGTGTGTGTGTGTGTGTGTAAAGATAATGAGTGTGTGAGAGTATGAGTGTGAGAGTATGAGTGTGAGAGAGTATAAGTGTGAGAGAATGAGTGAGAGAGAGAGTATGAGTGTGAGAGAGAGTATACGTGACAGAGAGAAAGAGTATGACTGTGAGAGAGAGAAAGTATGAGTGTCGGAGAGAGAGTATGAGTGTGAGAGAGACAGTATGAGTGTGAGAGAGAGTATGAGAGAGTGTGAGAGAGTATGAGTGTGAGGGTGAGAGAGGTAGAGGCTTGGAATGTATAAAGGTGTGGCTGAGGGTTATGAAGGGAAGGTTAGAATAAGGTATTAGGATGAGAGAAGGGTAGGTGAGGCTAGGCCAGGCTAGGGCTCGGTGGTAGTGGTGGTGGTGGTGGTGGTGGTGGTGGTGATAGTGGTGGTGGTGGTGGTGGTGGTAGTGGTGGTAGTGGTGGTATCCTTGTGATCGTTGGTAGCATGCAGCGAAGGTTCGGTGTTCCGCCGCTTGATCTTACTTTTCTTCAGCATTGTTGCCTATAAAATAAAACAAAACAAATGCAATACTAACTACATCTCTAAAAGCTGCTACATCTAATTTACAAATGTCTAATAATATATGGTAATGCATCGAAGTAATAAACTAACAACTCAGGTCATTTTTCAACATTCAGATCAGACATATAACTTGCTTCTCCTAATCATTCTCTAGGATCTAGATTCTAGAAGTTGGTCTAGGTCTGGGATTTGCTAGTTTTATATTATACGGTGGTGGAGGCTGAGAGGACAAGACTGTTCTCAACAATCCCAGTATGAGTGAGTGAGGGCTGCTGGCAGAGTGAGTGAGGGCTGCTGGCAGAGTGAGTGAGGGCTGCTGGCAGAGTGAGTGAGGGCTGCTGGCAGAGTGAGTGAGGGCTGCTGCCAGTGTCTAGTGTCAGCACTCACCGAACCTGCATTGTTACTCTCTCATGGATGCTACAGAAACTTGGGGGGGTGGGGGGGGAGGCTGATATGGCAAAACAGACACAGCAATGTTTCGCTCACAATTGAGCGAAACATTGCTGTATATTCTGTGTACGTGTGTCTGTATGTCCAGATCTGCCAGTGTCTAACCCACGCCCCCTCAACAATATTTGTAAATATTAGGCTTTTTCTTAATTCTAAAGCTTATTAATATGCTAAGATCACAGTAATATTATTCTGCATTGTTATATAAAATATAATCAAATGCTAAATAATTATTTATGCTACTGTTATATTTGATAATTATCCTTAATACTAACATTACAAAGAAAGAATATGTGAAAAAAATAATCTGTGTGTTAGTATGTGTTTTGCAGCGGCTTGTTCATGCTAGCCACGTATATACAAAGCCAGGTCAAGTATATAAAGCCAGTTGCAAGTGTGAGAAGCCAGTCTCAGTGTGGTAAGCCAGGTCTGGCTTAACTATAGATCATTTCTGTAAATATCCTGCTTGTTCATCTTGTTTGTGGTTCCTTCTAAACCCTCCTACATTACTACCACCACCACTACTACAAGTCACTATCACCATCACCACCACCATCACTAGAAACCATTACTACCGTTAGAAACCATTGCTACAAGTAACTACTACCATTAAAACCATCACTACTATTACTACTACTACAAGTCAGTATCACCATCACTACAAATCATCACCACCACCATCAACGTCACCACCAAAACAGTCACCACCACCATCACTACTACTACTAAGTCACTATCACCACCACTACAACAAATCACCATTACCACCATCAGTCTACAAATCATTACCATTATCATCACTGCAAATCACCATCACCATCCACAGTAGTCTTGAACATAGTAACCACACCCACAGTAGTCTTGAACATAGTAACTACACCCACAGTAGTCTTGAACATAGTAACTACACCCACAGTAGTCTTGAACATAGTAACCACACCCACAGTAGTCTTGAACATAGTAACTACACCCACAGTAGTCTTGAACATAGTAACTACACCCACAGTAGTCTTGAACATAGTAACTACACCCACAGTAGTCTTGAACATAGTAACTACACCCACAGTAGTCTTGAACATAGTAACTACACCCACAGTAGTCTTGAACATAGTAACTACACCCACAGTAGTCTTGAACATAGTAACTACACCCACAGTAGTCTTGAACATAGTAACCACACCCACAGTAGTCTTGAACATAGTAACTACACCCACAGTAGTCTTGAACATAGTAACTACACCCACAGTAGTCTTGAACATAGTAACCACACCCACAGTAGTCTTGAACATAGTAACTACACCCACAGTAGTCTTGAACATAGTAACTACACCCACAGTAGTCTTGAACATAGTAACTACACCCACAGTAGTCTTGAACATAGTAACTACACCCACAGTAGTCTTGAACATAGTAACTACACCCACAGTAGTCTTGAACATAGTAACTACACCCACAGTAGTCTTGAACATAGTAACCACACCCACAGTAGTCTTGAACATAGTAACTACACCCACAGTAGTCTTGAACATAGTAACTACACCCACAGTAGTCTTGAACATAGTAACTACACCCACAGTAGTCTTGAACATAGTAACCACACCCACAGTAGTCTTGAACATAGTAACTACACCCACAGTAGTCTTGAACATAGTAACCACACCCACAGTAGTCTTGAACATAGTAACCACACCCACAGTAGTCTTGAACATAGTAACTACACCCACAGTAGTCTTGAACATAGTAACTACACCCACAGTAGTCTTGAACATAGTAACTGCACCCACAATAGCCTTGAACATAGTAACTACACCCACAGTAGTCTTGAACATAGTAACTACACCCACAGTAGTCTTGAACATAGTAACTGCACCCACAATAGCCTTGAACATAGTAACTACACCCACAGTAGTCTTGAACATAGTAACTACACCCACAGTAGTCTTGAACATAGTAACTACACCCACAGTAGTCTTGAACATAGTAACCACACCCACAGTAGTCTTGAACATAGTAACTACACCCACAGTAGTCTTGAACATAGTAACCACACCCACAGTAGTCTTGAACATAGTAACCACATCCACAGTAGCCTTGAACATAGTAACTACACCCACAGTAGTCTTGAACATAGTAACTACACCCACAGTAGTCTTGAACATAGTAACTGCACCCACAATAGCCTTGAACATAGTAACTACACCCACAGTAGTCTTGAACATAGTAACTACACCCACAGTAGTCTTGAACATAGTAACTACACCCACAGTAGTCTTGAACATAGTAACCACACCCACAGTAGTCTTGAACATAGTAACTACACCCACAGTAGTCTTGAACATAGTAACTGCACCCACAGTAGTCTTGAACATAGTAACCACACCCACAGTAGTCTTGAACATAGTAACTACACCCACAGTAGTCTTGAACATAGTAACTGCACCCACAATAGCCTTGAACATAGTAACTACACCCACAGTAGTCTTGAACATAGTAACTACACCCACAGTAGTCTTGAACATAGTAACTACACCCACAGTAGTCTTGAACATAGTAACTACACCCACAGTAGTCTTAAACATAGTAACTACACCCACAGTAGAGTTTTGAACATAGTAACTACACCCACAGTAGAGTTTTGAACATAGTAACTACACCCACAGTAGTCTTGAACATAGTAACTACACCCACAGTAGTCTTGAACATAGTAACTACACCCACAGTAGAGTTTTGAACATAGTAACTACACCCACAGTAGTCTTGAACATAGTAACTACACCCACAGTAGTCTTGAACATAGTAACTACACCCACAGTAGAGTTTTGAACATAGTAACTACACCCACAGTAGTCTTGAACATAGTAACTACACCCACAGTAGTCTTGAACATAGTAACTACACCCACAGTAGTCTTGAACATAGTAACTGCACCCACAATAGCCTTGAACATAGTAACTACACCCACAGTAGTCTTGAACATAGTAACTGCACCCACAATAGCCTTGAACATAGTAACTACACCCACAGTAGTCTTGAACATAGTAACTACACCCACAGTAGTCTTGAACATAGTAACTGCACCCACAATAGCCTTGAACATAGTAACTACACCCACAGTAGTCTTGAACATAGTAACTACACCCACAGTAGTCTTGAACATAGTAACTACACCCACAGTAGTCTTAAACATAGTAACTACACCCACAGTAGAGTTTTGAACATAGTAACTACACCCACAGTAGAGTTTTGAACATAGTAACTACACCCACAGTAGAGTTTTGAACATAGTAACTACACCCACAGTAGTCTTGAACATAGTAACTACACCCACAGTAGTCTTGAACATAGTAACTACACCCACAGTAGAGTTTTGAACATAGTAACTACACCCACAGTAGAGTTTTGAACATAGTAACTACACCCACAGTAGTCTTGAACATAGTAACTACACCCACAGTAGTCTTGAACATAGTAACTACACCCACAGTAGTCTTGAACATAGTAACTACACCCACAGTAGTCTTGAACATAGTAACTACACCCACAGTAGCCTTGAACATAGTAACTACACCCACAGTAGTCTTGAACATAGTAACTACACCCACAGTAGCCTTGAACATAATAACTACACCCACAGTAGTCTTGAACATAGTAACTACACCCACAGTAGTCTTGAACATAGTAACTACACCCACAGTAGAGTCTTGAACATAGTAACTACACCCACAGTAGAGTCTTGAACATAGTAACTACACCCACAGTAGTCTTGAACATAGTAACTACACCCACAGTAGTCTTGAACATAGTAACTACACCCACAGTAGAGTCTTGAACATAGTAACTACACCCACAGTAGTCTTGAACATAGTAACTACACCCACAGTAGTCTTGAACATAGTAACTACACCCACAGTAGAGTCTTGAACATAGTAACTACACCCACAGTAGTCTTGAACATAGTAACTACACCCACAGTAGTCTTGAACATAGTAACTACACCCACAGTAGTCTTGAACATAGTAACTACACCCACAGTAGTCTTGAACATAGTAACTACACCCACAGTAGTCTTGAACATAGTAACTACACCCACAGTAGTCTTGAACATAGTAACTACACCCACAGTAGTCTTGAACATAGTAACTACACCCACAGTAGTCTTGAACATAGTAACTACACCCACAGTAGTCTTGAACATAGTAACTACACCCACAGTAGAGTTTTGAACATAGTAACTACACCCACAGTAGTCTTGAACATAGTAACTACACCCACAGTAGTCTTGAACATAGTAACTACACCCACAGTAGTCTTGAACATAGTAACTACACCCACAGTAGTCTTGAACATAGTAACTACACCCACAGTAGAGTCTTGAACATAGTAACTACACCCACAGTAGTCTTGAACATAGTAACTACACCCACAGTAGTCTTGAACATAGTAACTACACCCACAGTAGTCTTGAACATAGTAACTACACCCACAGTAGTCTTGAACATAGTAACTACACCCACAGTAGTCTTGAACATAGTAACTACACCCACAGTAGTCTTGAACATAGTAACTACACCCACAGTAGTCTTGAACATAGTAACTACACCCACAGTAGTCTTGAACATAGTAACTACACCCACAGTAGTCTTGAACATAGTAACTACACCCACAGTAGAGTTTTGAACATAGTAACTACACCCACAGTAGTCTTGAACATAGTAACTACACCCACAGTAGTCTTGAACATAGTAACTACACCCACAGTAGTCTTGAACATAGTAACTACACCCACAGTAGTCTTGAACATAGTAACTACACCCACAGTAGTCTTGAACATAGTAACTACACCCACAGTAGTCTTGAACATAGTAACTACACCCACAGTAGTCTTGAACATAGTAACTACACCCACAGTAGTCTTGAACATAGTAACCACACCCACAGTAGTCTTGAACATAGTAACTACACCCACAGTAGTCTTGAACATAGTAACTACACCCACAGTAGTCTTGAACATAGTAACTACACCCAGAGTAGAGTCTTGAACATAGTAACTACACCCACAGTAGAGTCTTGAACATAGTAACTACACCCAGAGTAGAGTCTTGAACATAGTAACTACACCCACAGTAGTCTTGAACATAGTAACTACACCCACAGTAGTCTTGAACATAGTAACTACACCCACAGTAGTCTTGAACATAGTAACTACACCCACAGTAGCCTTGAACATAGTAACTACACCCACAGTAGTCTTGAACATAGTAACTACACCCACAGTAGTCTTGAACATAGTAACTACACCCACAGTAGTCTTGAACATAGTAACTACACCCACAGTAGAGTCTTGAACATAGTAACTACACCCAGAGTAGAGTCTTGAACATAGTAACTACACCCACAGTAGAGTCTTGAACATAGTAACTACACCCAGAGTAGAGTCTTGAACATAGTAACTACACCCACAGTAGTCTTGAACATAGTAACTACACCCACAGTAGTCTTGAACATAGTAACTACACCCACAGTAGTCTTGAACATAGTAACTACACCCACAGTAGCCTTGAACATAGTAACTACACCCACAGTAGTCTTGAACATAGTAACTACACCCACAGTAGTCTTGAACATAGTAACTACACCCACAGTAGTCTTGAACATAGTAACTACACCCACAGTAGTCTTGAACATAGTAACTACACCCACAGTAGTCTTGAACATAGTAACTACACCCACAGTAGTCTTGAACATAGTAACTACACCCACAGTAGTCTTGAACATAGTAACTACACCCACAGTAGTCTTGAACATAGTAACTACACCCACAGTAGTCTTGAACATAGTAACTACACCCACAGTAGTCTTGAACATAGTAACTACACCCACAGTAGTCTTGAACATAGTAACTACACCCACAGTAGTCTTGAACATAGTAACTACACCCACAGTAGTCTTGAACATAGTAACTACACCCACAGTAGTCTTGAACATAGTAACTACACCCACAGTAGTCTTGAACATAGTAACTACACCCACAGTAGTCTTGAACATAGTAACTACACCCAGAGTAGAGTCTTGAACATAGTAACTACACCCAGAGTAGAGTCTTGAACATAGTAACTACACCCACAGTAGAGTCTTGAACATAGTAACTACACCCAGAGTAGAGTCTTGAACATAGTAACTACACCCACAGTAGTCTTGAACATAGTAACTAAACCCAGAGTAGTGTTGAACAAGGCTGGTGAGTAAAGTTGGGTAAGGAAGTGAGTGTTATGGTTGGGTTGGACGTACCTTGAGGGCAGACTTGAGTACCACTACTTCTCCTGGTGCCTGGTTCCACGGCTCACCATCCACTTGTACCGGCAGTTCAGAGTTCAGTTTAATACGGATGTGTCCTGCAACATTACATAACTTTAGTATGGATGTTAATATTGTAATGTAAACATTACTGACCTACATGGAGACACAAAGACAGGAGGATGATTGATCTGTACATTTCGACCCCCTTCTGGAAGTCCAACGACGACTGGTGTGGGTCGCATCCTGGGGACAAAATTGACCTAATTTGCGGGAAATGCTCAGCATAACAAGCAGCTTTCTATATAGTAGTATGTCACTGATGTCAGCTGTGGTCTGTATAGCTTGTACATGTACTTGTATACCTTGTACATGTACCTGTATACCTTGTACATGTACTGGTATACCTTGTACATGTACTGGTATACCTTGTACATGTACTTGTATACCTTGTACATGTACCTGTATACCTTGTACATGTACTGGTATACCTTGTACATGTACTGGTATACCTTGTACATGTACTTGTATACCTTGTACATGTACTGGTATACCTTGTACATGTACTTGTATACCTTGTACATGTACTGGTATACCTTGTACATGTACCTGTATACCTTGTACATGTACTTGTATACCTTGTAGATGTACTGGTATACCTTGTACATGTACTGGTATACCTTGTACATGTACTGGTACACCTTGTACATGTACTTGTATACCTTGTACATGTACTGGTATACCTTGTACATGTACTGGTATACCTTGTACATGTACTGGTATACCTTGTACATGTACCTGTATACCTTGTACATGTACTTGTATACCTTGTAGATGTACTGGTATACCTTGTACATGTACTGGTATACCTTGTACATGTACTGGTATACCTTGTAGATGTACTGGTATAACTTGTACATGTACTGGTATACCTTGTACATATACTGGTATACCTTGTACATGTACCTGTATACCTTGTACATGTACTGGTATACCTTGTACATGTACTTGTATACCTTGTACATGTATTGGTATACCTTGTACATGTACTTGTGGAAATAAAGACTATCGTCTTATTATTATTATTATTATTATTATTATTATTATTGTTTTATTATTATTATTATTATTATTATTATTATTATTATTATTATTATTATTATTGTTATTATTATTATTATTATTATTATTATTATTATTATTATTATTATTATTATTATTATTACTTTTATGGTGGTCGTGTTCACTTGAAGATGACCCCAGAATGAGTCGAAATATAAAGATCAATCAAACCTGCTGAGTTTCTGTCTCCAAGTGTGTTATTACTGTGTGTTTATTACACTTTAATTATTCGTCACTGTTATTATTGGAACAATGTCCCAGTAACTACTAGTGTCCCTGTGTTATCCTGGTGGTAGCCTAGGATGATAACTTACCTCCCTGTGTTATCCTGGTGGTAGCCTAGGATGATAACTTACCTCCCTGTGTTATCCTGGTGGTAGTCTAGGATGATAACTTACCTCCCTGTGTTATCCTGGTGGTAGCCTAGGATGATAACTTACCTCCCTGTGTTATCCTGGTGGTAGCCTAGGATGATAACTTACCTCCCTGTGTTATCCTGGTGGTAGCCTAGGATGATAACTTACCTCCCTGTGTTATCCTGGTGGTAGCCTAGGATGATAACTTACCTCCCTGTGTTATCCTGGTGGTAGTCTAGGATGATAACTTACCTCCCTGTGTTATCCTGGTGGTAGCCTAGGATGATAACTTACCTCCCTGTGTTATCCTGGTGGTAGCCTAGGATGATAACTTACCTCCCTGTGCTATCCTGATGGCTGAACGTAGTCCTGACTGGATCTGCCCCAGGTGAACTATCCCTGTGACACCCACTACTTCCAGGTGTCCGTCCCAGTGGTTGGGCTTGTTAAACTGGTCGTCCTTTTCAGGGCCCCAGGGGTTGGCCCCTGACCCCCAGGAGAGGATGTTAAGTATGATAACCCCTTCCACAGGTGGCAGGTCCACCGCACGTCCGTCCACCTCTAGTCTGATCTCCTTATGGAGATCCTTACATAGCTTTCTGGATACCATTTTACGTAGGCCCATCTTCACGTACACTCCTTTGTTGTGTAGTCTGTGGGAGTGGGGAAGTACATAAGTAGGACGTGGGAAAGTACAATGTAGCAGAGTATAGCACACTCGCACCACTGGTGGTAACCGTGAGTCAACTACAAGACTCTTGTGGTTACTTCGGTACAAGAATCTTGTAGCTACCCCGGTACAAGAATCTTGTGAGTCACCCCAGTACAACTTGTAGATCACCCCAGTACAACTCAACATGACGTAACCCAACACATCTTCAATAAGCTTTCAGATTACCGTGTTGCTGACAAAACTACTCAAAGAGGTAATACTGCAACTTGCTTCACTCTTCAAGCACTAATTAACTTCCTTGATAAAGTCCTCCCTCATACAAATAATAACAATTGGTAGGCAAAAGTCACATGTGCAACTAATGAGCACTGTCAGGTCGTTACCTTGACAAAGCTCCTGGAGAGCGAAACGTTGTCAGAATAAAATGTCACTTTAGATGCACTTGTGTCCTTTTACCTAGCGTATTGTGGGTAATTCTACCGACATTATTATAATAATAATTACAGTATTAATAATAATGAATCACCTGCTATTAAATTTGTTTGGGTTTTCTTCTCTTGCGTTGTGGAAGTCGAGGCAGAGTTCCGCCTCTATGCCGATACCGAAGTAGTTGTTCATAACGAAGATCTGGGTGTTATCCTCACTGGTGGACCCTGCTGGAGTACACACAGGGCCAGGTCAGCTCCACGGTAGGGCCAGGGTGCAGGGCAGGGCAGGGCAGGGCAGGGCAGGGCAGGGCAAGGCAGGGCAAGGCAGGGCAGGGTACAATGCATGGTCAGGTCATAAGGCAAGGGGAGGTCGTGTCACAGGCTAGGAGGTCGGGCATAGTGAGGTGAGAGAGAGGGGTCATGTTACTGGAGGAGCAGGTCAGTGATGTGCAGTGGACCGGTACACAGCACGTACACTACACATACATATAAACACACGCACACACACACACAGACGAAAGAGAGACGTATACTTTTCTAAAAGTGTACATGCCCAGCTTACTGATATCGCCATTCCTAATCATCTGTTAATGAAGTTCCTAGTACTTCTATACGAGCTTGTACAATGTACACACCTCAACCACAGTAAGAAGACCCATCAACTTTCTGATGTATCAGTTGTGCACTTCCTTCTGCTTCAATATAAGAGTCAATTTATTATAATTCTTGGTGACCTCAACCGATATTTTATGCAGAGGAATTTTGATGAAATCCTTGCAGTGTTTGACATGATGAAGTTTGCTGATTTGTCTACTCACATGTGTGGCTCCTCCCGCCACCCAGTGGTGAATCATCTAACTGAAGGTGTAGTCACTTGTCAACCCCTTGGTTATGTTGGCTCATCTGACTACAAGGCTGTCTTTACCACACTGAAGATCCCAACAGAACGAGGTGAAGACTCGATACGTACACCCTGGCTGTGGGAAAGAGGAAACTGGCCAGCCCTTTGCTCTGACCTCGCCACCTCTGATTGGAATACTCTTCTCCAAGGTCATGTTGACAACCAAGTGAATGCCTTCACTGAACACATCCTTAATTTCCAATAGAATCACATCCCTCACCGGCAGTATGTGACGAAGCCTACAGATCAGCCTTGCTTCGGCTTCTGCTGTCGAGAGGCTGCTACTGTTAAGTACAAGGCTTGGAGAAGATATGAGGCATCTCAATATCTTTAACAGGAACCTGCATAGGCAAGCCTGTCGACAAATGAAAGAAGTCCAAAAATGAGCCATCTCTAGGTGGGAGGCTGACACACAAAAAGAAAATTTGCATCAGGTAGAGTGGGGTCCAAAACTTGATGGTCCTTGGTCAATGACTGGCAAGGTCATTCATCTGATGACAGTATTCGACCTCTAAATTAGCAGGATGGAACCATCTCTACTAGTAGCCAGGAGAAAGCTGACGTAGTTGCTGAACAATTTGCTACCAGATGAAAGTTCCTGATCCAACAAGGGAACCTCTTTTGCTGACCGCAAGAACTGTGTTAAAGTTGTTAGTGGTGGTAATAAGGCAAGATGAAGTGCATTTTCTCCCTAAATTCCTGAAGCAAGAAAAGGCTGTGGGCCCAGGTAAAGTGAGCCCAAGATTACTGAGTAGATGTGCAGACCAGGTAATATCACCTCTTACTCGCATCTATCAACACTGCCGAGCAGCGTAAATGGCCTTCTCTGTGGAAAGAAGGAAAAGTTGTCGCTGTTCACGAAAAGAAGAGCAGAGCAGAAATTAGCAAACTACAGACCAATGTTACTCTTGTCAAGATTCTTAAGACAATAATTTCACGGCAGATGACAGCGTTTTTCGACTACCACTCGCTTCTTGGTGACCGCCAATATGGCTTCAAAAAGTCACTCTGCCACTGATCTGTTAAAACCTCTCCACTATGTGGCACCAGACACTGAATGAATCTAAGATCAGCTGTGTAGTAGCACCGGATAAAGCTGGGACTTTGACCGACTATGGCACCAGCGACTCTTGGCAAAACTGCAAGCATTAGAAGTCAAGGTAGATATATAAAAGTAGTTCTCAATGGGACAGAGTCAACAAGACACAATATTGGTGTCAGTATTCCATAGGGAAGTGTACTTGGACCATTGTTATGGAATGTCAGCTTCAATGGACTTTTTCAGCTCATCCCAGAATCTCATGTTTATGCAGACGACAGTACTCTGACATTTACTTATCCTAGGGAGGAAATGCCAGCTACTCTAAGTTACATCAATCAACAGTTTACTGCTATATCAGCCTGGGAAAAAAGTTGGCACGTTACATTTGCTTCTGGGAAAACACAAAGGATGATGGTCTGTATGCACCATGATGGTAATGTTGGAGCAGTGTTACAGATGAATGGGAGAGTGTTGGTACCCAGGGATGAGGTTAATATCCTTATGGTAAAATTTGACTCCAAACTGATTATGAAGAACCAACTTGTAAATCTCGCAAACAATCGGCCAGGAAGCTTACAGCACTTAGACGTATATCTCATCTGTTAGGTAAAATGACACAAGTGCAACTAATGTGACATTTTATTGTGGCAACGTTTCGCTCTCCTGAGCTTGATAAAGCTCCAAGAGAGCGAAACGTTGCCACAATAAAATGTCACATTAGTTTCACTTCTGTCCTTCTACTTAACTTATTGTCGGTAATTCTACCAACATTAGTACTATCTCAGATCTGCTGGGAAGTAGAGGCTACAAGGCTCTGTACGAGGCACAAGTACGCTCACACCTTGAGTATGCTTCACTTTCTTGGATTGCCTACCCCATCCCTTCTCCCCCGTCTCATCTACGACCATTTAACAGAACAGAAAGCAGAAAGACGACTCATCTCTCCCCTGGATCCATCCCTGAGAGATCTGTCATTTCAGCAGTCTTCAACACCGGAGATATGTGGGTGGCCTTACTGTTATGTACAAGGAGAATGTTGTTAAGTTGCCGCACTGGTTTCACTTCGTGTTGAATAATAAGAGAACTTTTACACAACAAGACGGGCAGCAAACAGCAACTACACTATGCTTGTACCCGTCTCACAAACATCACTTCCAGTGAGATTAATCATTACTAGAATGACCTGAATCTGGAATATGTTCGTAGAGCATAACGACACCGATAATATAAAGTCAGTTGATCCAGTGAAGTCGCTGGCCTACAGATGGCTCCAACTTCATCCTGTTCCTTATTTGTCTCATAGCAATAAAGTCTTTAAAATGTGCTAAGGTAGGCAACGGCTCTTAACTTGTAAATAAAGGTAGGAACTGTAATTCTAACACAGTGAAATTATAGTGGAAATTAAAAGCTAGAGAGAGAGAGAGGAGAGAGAAGAGAGAGAGAGAGAGAGAGAGAGAGAGAGAGAGAGAGAGAGAGAGAGAGAGAGAGAGAGAGAGAGAGAGAGAGAGAGAGAACAAAGAAGAGAGATAGTAGAGTAAGAGGTATATTAAATAAGAAAGAAATGGGCACATATATCCAACAAGTAACGTACACTCACACACACAAGGTGTGTACGTACAAGTAACGTACACTCACACACACAAGGTGTGTACGTACAAGTAACGTACACTCACACACACATGGTGTGTACGTACAAGTAACGTACACTCACACACACATGGTGTGTACGTACAAGTAACGTACACTCACACACACAAGGTGTGTACGTACAAGTAACGTACACTCACACACACAAGGTGTGTACGTACAAGTAACGTACACTCACACACACAAGGTGTGTACGTACAAGTAACGTACACTCACACACACAAGGTGTGTTCCTACAAGTAACGTACACTCACACACACAAGGTGTGTAAGTACAAGTAACGTACACTCACACACACAAGGTGTGTACGTACAAGTAACGTACACTCACACACACAAGGTGTGTACGTACAAGTAACGTACACTCACACACACAAGGTGTGTACGTACAAGTAACGTACACTCACACACACAAGGTGTGTACGTACAAGTAACGTACACTCACACACACAAGGTGTGTACGTACAAGTAACGTACACTCACACACACAAGGTGTGTACGTACAAGTAACGTACACTCACACACACAAGGTGTGTACGTACAAGTAACGTACACTCACACACACAAGGTGTGTACGTACAAGTAACGTACACTCACACACACAAGGTGTGTACGTACAAGTAACGTACACTCACACACACAAGGTGTGTACGTACAAGTAACGTACACTCACACACACAAGGTGTGTACGTACAAGTAACGTACACTCACACACACAAGGTGTGTACGTACAAGTAACGTACACTCACACACACAAGGTGTGTACGTACAAGTAACGTACACACACACACAAGGTGTGTACGTACAAGTAGCGTACACACACACACAAGGTGTGTACGTACAAGTAACGTACACTCACACACACAAGGTGTGCACGTACAAGTAACGTACACACACAAGGTGTGTACGTACAAGTAACGTACACACAAGTAACGTACACTCACAAACACAAGGTGTGTACGTACAAGTAATGTACACTCACACACACAAGGTGTGTACGTACAAGTAGCGTAAACACACACACAAGGTGTGCACGTACAAGTAACGTACACTCACACACACAAGGTGTGTACGTACAAGTCACAAGTAACGTACACTCGCACATGATGTACACGTACAAGTCATAAGAAAGGTACACATACACACATGATGCACACATACAAGTAAGGTACACACACACACATGTTGTACACGTACAAGTAGAGTACACACACACATGATGTAAACATACAAGTAACGTACACACACACATGATGTACACGTAAAAGTAACGTACACACACACATGATGTACACATACAAGTAACGTATACACACACAGACAATGTAGACATACTAGTAACGTACAAACATGATGTACACGTACAAGTAACGTACACACACATGATGTACACATACAAGTAAAGTACATACATATATGATGTACACATACAAGTACACACACAGATGATGTGCACATACAAGTAACGTACACACATGATGTACACATATACGTAACGAACACACACATGATGTACACATACAAGTACACACACATGACGTACACATACAACGTACACACATGATGTACACATACACGTAATGTACACACACACATGATGTACATATACAAGTAACGTACACACACATGATGTACACAT